TATTTACTTTGTGGGTTGCCACTAGGGAGGAATTGAAAGGGCCGCTCAATATGGGGTACTGGTTCTTCTTGTGCTGCGAGGCAATCAAGTCGGGCCACAAGACAGGAGAAATTTCCCTCGGTGGGATGATTACAAGGATTGCCAAGAAGCTCAACTATAAACGCTTCTTCCCCTCGTGCACTCAAGTTGGGGCCGATAAAGATATATTCATCAACATACAACATATGAGAAGGTCGGGGTTCCTCCAAGGAACTTCAGATGCCAACAATTTTCATGCCTGGATAGTTGACTGAGAGCACCATTGTATCTTGCCATACCCCAGCCGTACATCCCTGGAGCGAAATGCAAGGAATGTATGGAAGATTCCGCAAGATAATGGTGTGGTACCCACTGCTCTGGGTGGCGTAAGGAATATGGAAGTCGGCCCACAACAACAACAGCAACAACAACAACACCAACAGCAGCAACAGCAACAACAACAACAACAATAACAACAACAACAACAACAACAACAACAACATCAACATCATCATCAGCAATAGCAACATCATCAAGGCATGAGTACCCTTGAACAACAAATGATGAGCATGCAACTTGGCATGCAGAGCATAATGGAGAACCAACAGGGTATGTTTATGCAAACCCAAGCTCTTTATGGTGCAGCCGTGGATAGGGGTGAGGTCACCCCCTCGGTAAACTACCCCTATTGGCCACCCCAACAAGGGCCGGTCCCTGGGTGGCAGGGATCACAACCTACTTGGCCCTATTGGCAAGGGCCCTCCTCCCACGGTGTTTCCCGGGTAGACTACCCGACAGAAACCGGGTACGATTATCGTGCCCCCGGGGGGAGCGATTTTCGGGGTGACTCCAACTATCCATATGTCGACCCTACCCACCCTTCCCCTCTTTAGCTTCCCGCCCCTTTCGACCCGTTGCCTCAATGGCAACAAGACCTCTTCCGAGGTCACTATGGTTGGCCTCCGGGTTACTTCGGTTGTTGGGACCGACACGGCATCCCTCCGGACAGTTTCTCTTACGAAACTGAGGATGATGGAGATGATGACGAAGCCGGCCCTAGTGGCCACTAGCCCCCCTTGTTCTTTATTTCTCCCATTTGTCCCCTCCCAACGTTTTTAATTTGGCGCACCGCGGACGGTGCATTGTTTTAGTGTAGGGGGTGTGTAAGAGGCAAAGGGATTTTTTTTTATAGTGTGGGAGGAGGCTTGTCATCATGCTAGTGTAGGGGGGATTTCATTGTAGGTGGTAGAGCTCTCATGGTTCGGTTGGCTTTATCATGTTTTGATGTTGATTTATCTGCTTGATTGTGATGATTATGTCCCTGGGTGATTTTGATAAGTTTTAGCTAATTAATTTTCAAGTGTTAGTGTAGGTGATGGCGCTCCCATGAGGAAAAAGTCCAAACTCCCGATAGTCTAAATCCCTTAATCCAAATTTCTTTTAGTTTATCTTATTTTATTTCTATTTCTTCATTTTGTTTAAATTCTTAGTTTCTTTCTTTGATTTTTAACTTTTTTTTTATTTTATTTTTGTTTCATCTCAGTCGTTTCTTTCATTTTGGCTCACTTTTGAAGCTTGGAAATGGAGATAAAGGAAGTCAAAGGGAAATTCGAGCCCCCCTCGGTGAGATTGCATAATTTATCTTGTCTTCATTTCAAGCGGCATTTGGTGAATCCTTTCCTCTCTTTTATTTTCTTTTTCCTTGGGTGTTTATCTTAGGTTTAGCTTAGGAAGAAGTTGAATGGTTCGAGGATGTTTGCTTTTGGTTCTATGGAACATGGGACCGTTGATGTTGTTATCGAACGATCACTTGTATGATGATTGGGATTTAATTGAATTATATGCCTCGTATGTGAACCTTTTTTATTTCTTCCTCTTTCTTTTGTTTTATTTTCGCCTTTTTGTGTTACAAGCATAATTATGACAATTTGAAATGATTTTTGATGTGTAATTTGCTCACTCTTTTGGATTGGTTTGCGTAGATGTGTCTTTGAACTTATCTTCCTAGTTGATGAGGGTTTGCACGGTTTGAGAATGCTTTAGGTTGAGTTAGACACATTGTAAGCTAAGGTAGCCCGGTTTAGAACTTTTGAGGACGTTTAAACCCCTAGTTCACGAGAAAGTGGTAAGATGGTGTTGCTCTCTATGGTGGATAGGATTCCCTTGGTTAGTATTTGCTATATTTCTTATCCCGTGTGAGCGTCATTTGTTCTAGCCTTCATCATTCTTGTGAGCGGCACTTAGGATCCTTAACTATGCATGTCTTTATCTTTGTGTTGGCGTCAAGCTCCCAAGATTGTGACCATATAACTCTAGAGGAGGAAGAGGGCATTTCTTCTCATTTTTCTTTGTTTTCTTTGTGTTTTGTTACAAATTTGGTTTTCATTTTTACATTCACCCTCTTGCTAACCAATTTGAGCCTTATTTCCCCTTTCTTGACTTAGCCATATTACAAACCTATTGGCATATGTTCTACCAACCCTTGTAGTTAGTGAAGCATTGGCTTGTGAGGTTCGAGTTTGATAATGTTGAAATTGAGCAAGAAAGTTATGTAATTTGATTCAAATAAGGTTTTGAAAGGCTATTCATGAAAAGAGTACGCAAAAAGGCTTGGCAAGAAAGTTGAAAGGACTTGAAACTCATGAAAACCAAGCAAAAAAAATGAAAATGATTGAAGTAATGTGGTGTGGTTTGTTTTGAAAGGTTGTAAGTTTGAAAAATAAGTTTAATTCTTAGGATGCTCTTGAGAGATGGCCACTCTTACGCTTCACTTAGGAATTTCCACCAAAATTTTCAAATTGTTTCCCAACCATAACCCCTAGCCATGACATTACAACCTACTTAAGACCCTTGGATTCTAGAAGGGCGTGGTCAAAGAACAGTGGAGGGAGATAGATTTCAACCCTATGGAGAGAGTATGCATAGTTGAGATGTCGGGATGACCTTATGACTCCACATAAAGTTTTCTTTTTCCGGTTCCCTCGAGGAACCATGAGGAGCTAGCTAGGGGATGAATTGAAGCTAGTGGAGAGAACGCGGACCGTCTTGGTTGGGGCTAGGGCGGAGAATGAAATCATTAGTTCTCTACGCTTAGCTTAGGTTTGTCTTTTTCAACCTTGAGCATCTTGGAACGTGTTTTCCCTCTTTGAATTGAGAAAGATAAGTATTCTTTGGTGCATTTATTTGCAAATGAGTCCAAATTGAGCATTCCATTACCTTGAGGTTTGATTGGTTTTGCGAAAACCTTGTCATGTTATGTTTGTTTTGTTTGTCTTTATGTTCCGGTTTTCCTTGCTTGAGGACAAGCAAGAGGCAAGTGTGGGGGATTTTGATGAGTGGCATTTATGCCACTCTTTTATCCTTTTTCTCTAAGGATTCTCCCCTCATTTTCACTTGTTTGGCCCTTTTTTCTAACCATTTTTACTTAGTTTTGCTTCCTCTTTTTATTTTCTCCTTATCTTCCCTTCTTTTAGTCTTCTCGCTTTGTTTTTATTTTTATTTCCATGCTTTGGTTTTGTAGATATTATGTGCCGAAAGAAAGAGGATATCAAGAAGCCAAACTAACTGTTGTGCGCAGGGTGTTGTGCGGCTTCTGTGCGGGCGCACATTTTAGGCTGTGCGGGCACGCAGCCCTGTCAGAACCCGCACAACCAGACTGAAGAAACAGAGCCTAACCAGAGAGTTTGCGCGACCTTGTGCGTGACTTGTGTGCGGGCGCACACACCTGATGCGCGGGCGCGCAGGACTAATGTGCGGGCATACTTATTTTCCCCGTACCCTCAAAGTTGCGGCCGCGCACTACGCTGAGAGGGCGCACACACCTACTGTGCAGGCGCGCATATGTCGTGTGCGGGCGCGCACGGCTGGGTTTCCGATTTATTTGCGCCTTGTTGTCCAAGTCCCTTTCTTTTGGGGGGAGCCACATATATATAGACGGGACTCTTTGTAATAGAAAACACTTAGTATTAATTCCATAGAACATTAGCCTAATCTAGAGAGAGAAAATAGATTGTTATTCAAGCTTCCTTTATTGTATTCAACTTTGCTCAAGCTTTAATCTTTCATCAATCAAGCAAGTATCCAAGTTTTCATCTTTCTTTAATCCTTTCTTTAGTAATCTCTTCTCCTTTCCTTTAATATTATTTATTTGTTTTATTGTTACTTATTTTTTTCAATCTTATTAGTTTATCTAGTTATTATTGATTTCATACATTTCAATCATGTTTTGTTTTGAGTTTCTTGTGTTTATTTCTAGTTTTGAAATCATGTTTAATCTCCCTTCTCTAGGCTAAACATTTAGCTAGGGGAAGGGGGTGGAAGATATGATTTGATATTGGATGAATGATGATGGTTGGATTGAACTTATGCCATATATTTATGAAAGGCATGATTTTTATTAGCTTGGGATTATTGTTGCACTCTATTTGATGTTTTCTAGTTTAAATGCATGAAAGGTATTTGAACTAGATTAGGATCACCTCTATTTTAATGATTGCATGAGAATGAGTTATTAAAGTGGAGTTTTTATGGATTGTGCTTCTTTATTCTCTTGATTTGATTGTAACTAATAGGATGCATGAGAATGATCCTTATTAGTGTAGACCTCTTTCATTGATTTGCCTAGACTATTGCATGAGAATGAATTGTTTAGGTAGAACCTTGTGTTCTTTGGCATATGTTTCATGATAATCACCATTATTCTCCTCTTTCTAATCATATTGAACACCCCCGTATCCCTAGCGTCATTTTCTATTGATTTTAATCATCATTTTCTTGCTTACTTGTAGTTTTAGTGTTCTACTCATCAAAACCAACAAAACAATCCCCTTTTCACTCTTGCATTAGTGATATTTGATGTTGAATTAGCGTGCTTCCCTAGTGGTTCGACCCTTTACTTGCCACTAACTAGTTTAGTGTAGGTTTAGGTATTATAAATAATTAATTTGGTTAGGGTGTTAGCATAACGACCTATCTTATCCATATCAAGAGACAGGCTGAATGAGATAGCTCTGAGTAATAGAGCTAAGTTGTTTACCTCTCCTCATAGTAACAAGATCAACAGCAGGAAGCCAAGGAGCCTTGGTCCCTAAAAGAGACTTATAGAAAGAAATAATCTCATTAGAAATAGAATCCGGATCCTTAAGCGAAACCTGGTTAGAGTCAATTCTGTTCCTTGCTTGTCTATTCTTCATCACTAAGAAAAAATAATGGGAATTGCCATCTCCAAGCTTAATCCAGTTAATCCTAGACTTTTGTTTGAAGATGCTTTCTTGAATATCATTCCAGTGTTTGACAACCTTAATAGCATCATATTCTTTTGCATATAAATCCAAATCATCAGGATTCTGAGCCATTAAGTTCTGAATTCCAGCAAGCTCAACATTAGCTTGATCAATCTTCTCAGCAATATTGCCAAACTGCTTGCTATTAAGAGACTTGATACTAGACTTCAAAGAATTAAGCTTCTTCCACACAGAACTACCAGAACACCAAGCCTGAGAAACAGTATCAAGGAAATCAGGATGATCAGCAACACAGTTTAGAAATCTGAATGGTCTACCTTTCCCAGTAGGAGCAGGACAAATATCCAAAAGAACTGGACTGTGATCAGATAAAGAAGGGGGAAGATAGACAGTTTCAACATGACCATGAGAGTCCAACCAAGCTTGGTTACCAAAGACTCTATCAATCCTAGAAAGAGTTCTAGGACCAGTGTGAGCCTTATTTGACCAAGAGTAGAAGGCTCCTTTTCTCTTGACCTCAGTGAGGTCCAAATCATCAACCAAACTCTGGAAATCTCTAGTCTCATAATCAGTAACATCAGTACCATGAAGCCTGTCTGAAGTATTAAGAACAGAGTTAAAGTCACCAGCACAGAGCCAAGGAAAATGCTGAATAGAGATGTTCCTAATCCCTTCCCACATAGGAAGCCTATCATGAATAGAATGAAACCCATAGATAATAGTGAGTTGAATTTGAGTAGAAAGATCCTTAGAAAGGACACTAAAATGAATAAACTGCTCATGAATCTTTAAGACATTGACAGTTACTCTATCTGCATTCCAACCAAGCCAAATCCTCCCTTTAGGAGAATGATCATAATTGCACACCCAAATCCAAGAAGAGCCAAACTTCTTTTGGTAATTGAAAACATTTTTTTATTTAACTTTTGTTTCAAGTAGGCCAATAACATCAACTGAATGAGAATGAAGCAACCTCTTTACAGAGGCAACTTTGCCAGGGTTATTCAGGCCCCTGACATTCCATATAGAGTAAATCATGACACCAAAGGGGGATTAACCTCACCCCCGCTTGGTTTTATAGTGAAACCACCTGCACCATCCATTTTATTTGCAAATAAAGCAACAAAAGCATTAGAGGTAGAAGCAGGCTGATTAACCCTAGTTTGCTGACTTTTTGTCTTCCTTCCAACTATCCTCCACCCCTCATCTGAGTTTTGAAAAGTATGAACTTGTGGAGTGATAACAGATTGCCCATGAACAGAAGCATCAACATCAACAACAGGAGCAGGAGCTTGACTAGGCTTAGGGACCCAGGCTTGTTTCTGCTTCAGTGCTGCAGGAGTTGGCTGTTTATGAACCTGCTTAGGCTTAGCAGGAGCAGGTTTAGTAGAGCAATCATGGCCAACCTTGTTGCACTTAGAGCGTAAAGGTGGAGCCCACTCATACACTACCTTAAGCTCCAGCAATTCCTTTGAAGGACTCTCAACTAGGACAGAGTTAGGCATAGGCTTTGTAACATCAATTTTAACTAGAACCCTGGAAAAAGAAAACTCTAAGCTGTCTAGTAGTGCACTCATCAGTACAAATTGACACTCCAAGCAAACTGCTAATACGGATAAGAGTATCAGATCCCCAACAATTAAGTGGGAGATTAGGAAACTTGACCCAGAGAGGGACAGTTCTCAGAATTTCAGCATTAAAATCAAATTTAGGACACCATGGCTTAACTATTGCTGGTTTTCCAAGAAACATATGAGGACCAGAACAAAGTATAGTATCTTTATCATCACTAGAACACAGATTAATGATAAAGTACCCATCGTCATGCCAATAAACATCTGGTGTCTGCATAGCACTCCATTGTTGGACAATAAATCGATGAACAACAGCAATAGTAGGATAATAACCAACCACATAGAAAACTAAAGCATTAGACCACTTTTTGTTACCTGCATCAAGCTTTGATTCCTGCAGTTGAGCAACTTGCTTCCCATCTTGAACTTTTGGAGCAACATAGGACAGGGGAGCTCCTTTAGCAGTCAGTTTACCAGAGAAGGGAACAGCTCGATCCTCACCATTTGTATATGCATTCTTCTCTAGGGGAGGTATAGAATGATGATCAGGAACTGTTGGCTCAGATCAATGCCCAGATCCTCCAGCAACCAATGGAACAGTAAACCTAGAAACCCTAGGTACTGTTCTATTGGAAATCATCGAATCTGGTCTAGAAGTTGCTTCAGCAAATAGAGCAATAGTCTCAGCATCACTTTTGGGAATAGCACCACATGCTGGATGCACCAATTCCGGCGCCGGAGTAACTAGCTCATCCACCTCCTAAATCGGACTAGGAACAAATGAAGTGCCTGAATTCCTCAAATTCTGCAAAATTGTGTCTAAAGGTTCATGAGTATTCTTCTGTTGTACTACTTTAGGAGTAGGAGTGTTTTTCTTCTTCTTCTTAGCCATCGGAGATCAAGATTGATGAAGAAACCGATCAAAGTTGAAGCACCATGGAGAAGAGAGAGAAGAGAGAAAGTCAACAAAAGTCAAACCTCGTGTATTTTGTTATTCCTACGCATCATACTTGAAAGTAAGCTACCGGAAGCTGAATGGGTAAGAGCGAGGTATGAAGAGATTTTATTCCTCGATGAACGACGATTAAGAGCTTTGCATCATGTACAAGTCTACCAAAGGCGCATTGTGCGTCATTTCAATAAAAGAGTCAAACCTAGAAATATAATAGAAGGTGACTTTGTGCTAAAGGAGGTTAGGGGTCCACCAACCGATCCAAGAAGGAACTTCAAACCTAATTGGATAGGTCCCTACCGCGTAATTAAAATCCTATCAGGAGGAGCCGTTAGATTAATGGATATTGGAGGAGATGAAATTCGCCAATTAATAAACATTGATCGCCTTAAGAAATATTACATATGAAATCCGGATAAACTCGTTCACTCATATAACCAATTTTAATTAGCATTCAATTGAAAGATCCTAAGTGTTATGCATTTTACCGAATAACACGATAAAATACATAACACTGGGGGGTAATTTAGAAGTAATAAACCGTTCTAAGTGTTAAAATTTTTTTGAACATCACAAAAAAATCTTCACACTTGGGGGTGTAATAATACAGAATTTTAAAAAACAAAAATTTTCGAGACATTCGTAGCACAGGTGTCACGCGCAACTGGAAGAGTTGCGCGCGACAGGCTCGCGCAACTACAAACATTGCGCGCGCCACCTGATGACGAACTGCGAACCCAAATTTTTACTTTGAATGAAGTTGCAACTTCTAATTGTGGCAAAAAGAGGGTGTTTCTTAAATATAACATATACTCGGAAAATAAAATTAAACTTTGATTTAATTCTTTTAAACAAGGTTTGATTAATTTTTCATTTAATTTCTATCTAAGAGATTAAAGAAAAATAAAAAAATACATAATAATAATAAAAAAAATTAGAACTATGCAAAGACCTGATTTCGTAATGCGAATACATAGGCAATCTTTATGATTCGGTCATATCAAAATACAAAAATATAAAGATCATTTTTATTTCATCCAAATTACAAAAGAGAGACATTGTTAAACTAGATAGTAAACGAAAAAAAAATGTAGTAGTGATTACACTTTATTCGAAAAAAATAACTAATGATAAAATTGTGTAACACTCTAAGTTTTTACTATGTCCTCGATTGTCACAGATGATGGAGGAGTAGTTTCCGCCGCAGTATTTTCAGAAACCTTGGAACTTTCCCCTACACTCTTCTTCTTCACCCAAACATTGTTCTTCAATTTAGGGATTGGGGCCTTTGCAACCTGTTTTCCTTTCCCTTTGACTATTGGAGCTTTCTTGCGAGTATTTGGTGAAGCTTCTTTGATTTTCACACCTTGTTGCGCGGGTTTGGAGGGAGCTTTCCTTTTTTGTTTCCTTCGAACGAGCCTTAGGGGATAAGAAGTCTAATTTTCTTCTTACTCCTTTGTTTTGGCCACTAGGAGGAGTAGTAGTAGTTGAATGCATCAAAGGCTTAGGTGGATTGCGAGCGGTGGCGGCTTCAAGTTGAGATCGAGCCTTGTTTAATTCGCCCTTATCCACCGCATTTATCCAAGCCTTTTAAAAGGAAGATAATGTAATACTCGCGGTAGGATTTTATATTACCCACCTAGGAAGACTTGACCAATATTCCATCCAACGAGGAATTCTTTCGAGTTTACAGATCAAATCTTTAGGGGCATCACAATCTTGCGAGGGAATAAATTATTTTCATCCCGTATTGTCTCATTACCCTACAAGGAAAAATATAAGTAGTACTAGATAGGCCTAAAAGCCTAATGTAAGGGCAATTGAGACTATTCCCAATCATACTATTTATGTTCCACCAAGGAATCACAAAACGTATGTTAGGAACCCCATGAAAAAAAAACGACGTCCATTCCTCTTCATTCTTATGCTTATAAAGGATTCGACGTCTAGGGAATGTCTTTACTCATTAGCCTCAAGGTTTTGTGGCTGATCAACAATTCGCAAGCGCTCCATGAGCCAAATTAGGAAAAAAAAAAAAATCAGTTTTCGAGTTTTTACACAAACAGGTGGCGCGCGCACCCTCAGCGCGCAGCAAAGAATATTGCGCTGGTCATGCCAGCGCAACTTCGTGACTTACGCTGATAAACGCCAAAAAAAAACGTACTTGTAATAGGAGTGGACTTCCCGTTAAATTGTTTTCGTTAGTGTAGACACCTAAAAATGTCTCCCCAAAACCAAACCCAATGATGAACACCTTTCACCGCCATTATTGGTCGGATTGCGTATTTAATCTTTGGAGTGCTTAAATCCATGTTATATTCAATAAATTTCATAAACCAACCCATTTCCTAACTCATTTCCCTAAACCATCATTTATTTTTCTCTTTTCATGCCTTTAAACCCAAAATAATTCATTTCGTGTCCTTTAAAATCATTCATTTCTTGTCCTTTGCATAAAAACGTTTATTCATGTTTATTTTGATCCATTATCTAGGTTCAATGATTTAATAATTGGATGGAGCTTTAAAAGAGATTTCCAACTATATATTATAATCCCAAATCCGAGTTAAAATGAATAAGTTATGGCCAAAATATTAAGTCGAGCCCAAACAGAACCTAAGCCCACCTTACCTACGACCCAATGATCATGTGGAGGGTCCAAATTATTTAATCCCATTTCTAAACCAATTAGGATTAATTAGAAACTTCAATAAGTTTCTAAAAGATCTTAATTATCTTTTTTATAAAGATAAGATTAAAGAGTTTGAAATTGAATAAAACTTTTCTTTTTGAAAATCCTATTTCTATCCGAATTGAAAGACGTTCAAATATAGTCAGATATTATTTTCGTGACTCATATTTTTTATTCAAATTTTATATGATTGGATAACCCTTGAAATTATCTTTCCAATGATATATTATAATGTCATTTCCGAGCTATAACGGATAAGATATGAATAAAATGTCAAACTCTATCCAAAACTGACACCGTCTCACTATTTCGTTCATATCTTTTATTCTACAAAATATTTTTAATCTGATTCCAATTGGTTAGAAAGTATACCTCAAGAGCTTTCCAACTATTTCTTATTTATCATATTCCGCTTTCTGGATCAAAATCTATGATAAAAACAAAACCGCAAAAACTGCAGCCTATCGAGTTTTATTCCGATTTAATTCGGATCTTATCTTGTTTTTTCGACCCTTCTTTTTCAATCATCAACAAGCTTGATCATCAAATCATTCTCTTCTCCCTCTTTAGCCTAAACACTAGCCTCCCCATTCTTTCACTATTCCTTCCTTTAAGCACTCCAAGGGGTCCATACAACACCCGAAGTTCTATACTTAAACAAAGGCGTGAAAGGTATAATAACTGAGGTTTGGACTAAATCAACTCTACTTTTTATTTAATTTAATTTTAATTTGATTTATATTTTTATTGAAGTTACTAACAGTTTATTCATGATGTAGCAAATTAAAGGAACGTGCGGAATGTGAGTAATTAATTAATTTAATTACTCTTATTTTATTTTAATATTGTTATTATCATGATTAGGCTATTTTATATTTGATTTTACTAACGCTATTATTGTTATTGCTTCCAATATTAATGTTTGTTCTATTATTTATTATTATGATCACCATATTGCATGTTTAAAGAGAATATGTAATTGAAAATCACGCCTAATAAGATAATTTGGACAACCAGTTTAGGTTCCTTTTTAATCTTGTTGTTTAATCTAGAATTATGTGTTACATTAATATTAAACAAATTTAGCCTAATAATAGTTTGGAGCAAATTGAATTTTTGTTTACATGCCTTTGAGATCGCAGGAATCATTTTTCACAATAAGAATCGAGTAGAGACCAATACGGGCGAATGTGACTCCATGACTCACTTCGTACCATCATCCCCAATCCTCCTTTCATGGTTTCAAACCATATGGAGTTAGTAATGTCATGGATTATGAATGGGGTG